TGACTTGCTCTTATACACACACACACACACACACACACACACACATATATATATATATATATATATATATATATATATATATATATATATATTATTAACTTATAGTATTATAAAGTATAAGGGTTGAATTTTAACTTTTAAAACTCTAGGGTTTGGAATTAAAGTTTTCTAAAGGACTTTACAAATTCCAAATTTGAGGGCAAGTTTTGAAACTATTCAAAACCTTTCATGTTCATAACCTATGAGTTTAATGGTTTATTAAAATGAAGACTCTTCACTTTATGTAACCTATGGCTCTTTAATGACAATTTAAAGAAGTGACTTTTGGTAATCCATAACTTGAGGACAAATTATGGACTCCATCAATAGGCATCAAGATCAAGAATTACACTAACAAACAATTTGCAAATAATTCCTATGATCTTCTAAAACTCATAAGTATGAACATTCATATCAACATTTTCAAGAATCATATAAACACATATAAAACTTAAAAATTTGATAATAACCATTGTAAATGGATTAGCATAATCATTACCACATCAAAAAAACAGGTTTTACAAGTCCAAAACAGTTTAGGGTAATGATTCTAGTCCGTTTCAAGCAGCAAAACTCGAAATTCTACACACAGGGGCTCCTACTCGCCGAGTGCAAGAACCTACTCGACGAGTAGGATGCATTTTCTCTTGGACTCGTCGAGTCCCCCCATGGACTCAGCGAGTTCATTGAACAGTGTGCAAAAAAATCGATTTTTTCAAGCAGTTTGCATCAAATATAAAAAAACAAGCCTAGGCTCTGATACCACCGATGGGTTTTGAGCATTCTAACACTCCTAAGGTGTACATGCAACCTTAGAAACCTTGGATCTATGTTTTCTATAATATTCATGCAAATAAGAATTTTCCAAGGTTTACATCCTAACTAACATGGCATGGGGTACTTGTAATATAAAAAACTAGTAGAATAACATACCTTTTCTTGTAGCTTGGATTCCTTAAGACCTTGTGAGCCTAGCACCCCAAATGTGATGCCTCAAATGTTTCACACAACACCTACAACTCTTGGAATAACTTGAGAGAAGAACACTTTGATCACAAAATTGGCTAGCCCTCCTTGTCTTGTAATAGTGGCCGATTTTGCTAGCTATGGAGCTCTTTATATAGTGTGTCACATGAGGGTTACACCATGTAAACCCTAATGTGCATGACTTTTCATTTCCCCCATGATCCATGGGTTATAACCTCCATGGAGCATCCATGGAGCACCCAATGGGTCCTAGCTCAATCTAGTGAATCATGAACCATAAGCCCACTATACAAGAATGAATGATTTACAAATCAATCCTCATATATTTAATTAGTCTCTTTTTTATCATAAAATTAATTCCAAATTAATTCTTGATCAATACTAATTAAATAATATGATTTCATATTAATATATTAGAACTTATAATATATTTACAAATCGTAAGTGTCCTTTTTCTCATTTTGTCTATCCAATAATTGTGATGAAGATGCAACCCAAATGGACCATGCCAAGCCGGGTCAAGTACATACTAAATATAGTTATGGACTTAGACACCTTATCCAACAAGAACAAGTGTATGGACTAGATTATTTGGATGGGCTTTAGGGTAAGCCCCATGCAAGGAGTTTGGGTCCAATTTGGAAAATTAGTCCATAGTTTGGCCTTGGTTGATTATTTACTTTTGGGCCTTCAGAGTGTGAGTGTGGGCCTTGGTCTTGGACCAAGCTAGGTTAGGGTTAAAATGGATTTTTTACCCCAAGTATGGACTTATTGTTATGTATTGGAACTCGATTATTAATTGGGTGTTTTTTTGATGTTGACAGTTCGGGAATCTGTCATCCAACAGCTAGAGTTTTATCCGCGGGACTTCAGTGGAACAAGGTGAGTCTCCTCACTATGTTTAGCGGGTGGAAGGCACCAATGTCGGGCCATGGTTATTATGTTAGGATGTCAGTTGTCTGTGTAACCCTGGCATGTGTACGTATTGATATGTATGTTTGGGCGGGGCCCGATGATTATTTTATATGCTAGTATCAGGTTATGCATATATGACTTGTATGTGGGCGGGGCCCGTTGATTGTGTTGTATGCTATTATCTTTGTGATTTTCACATGTTTTGGAATGTTTATATGATTATATGTATGTGAGTGTGGGCAGGGCCCGTATCTCATCATTATTCGAGTGTGGGCGGGGCCCGTATCTAATGATTAGTTGAGCGTGGGCGGGGCCCGTTTCTCATCATTACTTGTGTGTGGTTAATGGTATGTTTGGAAGGTTGTGTACTTGTTGTATGTGTGATACTTGTATGTGTTTGTTTTTGTATGTGAGTGTGGGAGGGGCCCGTATCTCATTATTATTTGAGTGTGGGCGGAGCCCGTATCTCATGATTAGTTGAGTATGGGCGGGGCCCGTATCTCACAGAGTGTAGGCGTGACACGTATCTCTTAGTTAGATGAGTGTGGGCGGGGCCCGTATCTCACAGAGTATGGGTGGGGCCCGTATCTCTTAGTTAGCTGAGTGTGGGCAGGACCCGTATCTCACAGAGTGTGGGCGGGGCCCGTATCTCATAGGGCGGGGCCCGTTATCCGAGTATGGGTGGGGCCCGTATCTCCTTGAGTGTGGGCAGGGCCCATATCTCCTAGTTACATGTTATGTGTATGGTATGTGCTAGTTTGGGGGAAACTCACTAAGCTGCATGCTTACGGTTTTCAGATTTGGTTTCAGGTACTTCGGTCTTCAAAAAGAAGAGCTCGGGATGATTGCAGAGCACACAACATATGTTTTCGCCCATGGATGTTTTACTTAGATTTTATAGAAATTGATACAGTGGTTTTATGTATATGTTTGGATGTCATTGACAAATACTGTTTTATCCATTATTAAAAATGAAATTTTTGGGACCATATTTTATGGATGTTACAAATTTATACATGTGAATCCCATGATTTAAGGGATTGTATCATATCTATACTAAGAACCGATCTTCATAACAAAGATAGGAGATCTACTATCTATTCTGTACTTATCTATATCATGACCTAATATACAAAAGATTACATAGAATAACTATACTAAGAGCTGACGCTGATAAGCTTTATATGCTGGCGCTGGTTGTAGAGTATACGCTAATGCTGACGAATGTGTAGAGTGTTTGAGTCATCAGATCATAAGGTGTGATCTTACAAAGGATGTTAAAGAAATTCATCCACGATATATTTTGTCTCGGTGTAGGAAAAGATGTGAAACAGGGATACTACTTAGTGATAAATTGTTATGAAGATTTAATGAGTGGTGAAAGCGTTAAACAATTTCACCACTTGCGTTCCATTTTTTACGATGATGCGCATATTGCTAATTCTAGCGAAAAGTGTGAATACTTGTTTTTCATGCTTTAGGGCTCGAACTATTTAGTTCAAGATTGGTAATGAACTAGATGGTTGTTGATGTACCGAATGTCATGGAATCTTATACTCTTGCTTCAAGTATCTCAAGGCCTAATTAATTTTTTCAAGTATAACTACATGTTTGATTTCATTACATAAAATCAAATTGATGCTCTTAAGGATGCTCACATCTCTTTTCCCCTCCCATACAAGAATCAGGCCCAACTTGATTTTTTTTTGTGCTTGATTCCAGTAGCCAACTTCCATCTTTACTGACAAAAATTAATTTTTAGCTAATAAGCTAATTTATAGTTGATAAGCTAACTTATAAATTAATAGTGTTTGGTAAAAAAATAACTTATAGAATATAACATGACAAATAGATATTGAGATTTTGGCTCAAATAGACATATTTTGGGCGTATTTTCCAAAATATTGACATCAAAAAACATGTTTCCACAAATAGACATACATTTTGCGGAAGTGCCTACACGGGCTACACGGAATTAGGATACCCTTCGAAAAAATAATGTTTTATCAAAATGTATTTCAACTATAAATATACAGATAAAACCAATCATATCAAAAACAAATATAAAATAACAAAAGAGCATGTTCGATAACCCATTATTCACAACCATAAGTACATAATCGAAACAAAAAATGGATAACTAACATTTATAAATTTTTTTACTAATTACGATAAAGTTTAAGTCGAATCAAACTAATTGTTGATTATGATCCAAATTAAGTTTTATTATAACATACAATCAACTTTCTACGAAACTGAAATTCCGTCAAATCCAATTAAATAGTTATATCTTGTGGTTTTACTATAAATAATATAAATCTATTAAAATCTTTATTGATAAAACGTACACAACAAGCTCAACAAAAAAATAAGGCAAGGATTTGATAATTAACTATTGCTTATGAACAAAAAAAAAGGAAATGTATTCAAATTGCAATTAAAAATGGAAACTTATTAAAGCAATCGAATATTTTAAAAACATAATAAATGATGACTTAAAAATAATCATATTAATGCGAAATCACAACATAATTTCCTAGGATTTGCACTAAAATAACATGGAAGGGTTCTCATGCTGATCTGGATAATTGGATGTACACGTTGGCCACGTCCATCTGGCAACAAACGAGTGGTGATTAGGTAACCAGTGTAGAAGGAAATCTCCCCTAACGAACAATATTTTAATAAAATTACGAACATACCCCTAGCCGCGATATTATCCAGCTGGCAATTTTTTAGTATTATACAAGGCTACTTGACAGCACCCATTATTGACGTGGAAATTATTCTATTCCCATTTTCCAAGTGGAATATACCCCCTAATCATTGAGTATTTTTCATTTTACACCCTCTACAAAATCATAAATAAATTTCTCTCTCATCCTCCCTTTTGTCCACCCTACTCTTCCCCTCCATTTCTCTCTTTCTCTCTCATCTCTCATCTCTCTCGCTCTAATAAACTCCCCTGTTTTCAGGTTGATTTTGATTCAAAGGTTCGGATTGGGATTGTTTCATCTAGATTTTGACTGTTGTCGTGAGGCGCAAGAGCGCAATCTGAAATGTCTTTTAGATTTTTCCTCATTTTTCCAGAAAAATCCAAGGTTGAAGAAGGAGAGTGGGAAAAGGAGAGATAATCGACGATAATTTTCGTCTTCACCTAGAATTTTTCTTGCTGTTAGTGTTTGCGTAAATATATATATGCAAGTGTGTTTATATCTGGAGACTGGAGGAAATTGTTAGCTTATCGGACTTATCTGCTTCTTCTGGTAAGTTGATTTGGTTTGTTAGTGGAATTTGATTGTGATTTTGGTTAATGTTGCTAATAGTTTCTGTAAATATTTTGTTAGGAATGTCTGCTACGATGATGATGCCTGCGACGGAATCACAGTCAGTGGCGGCGAATCTGAATGCTCCGACGATGGAAGTAGAGTTTGCTGAGTGCGATTGTTGTGGATTGACGGAGGAGTGTACGCCGGCGTACATGGAGAGAATTCGAAAAAGGTATCAAGGGAAATGGATCTGCGGTTTATGTGGAGAGGCGGTGAAAGACGAAATATTGAGAAGCGAACGGCTGATCACCACCGAGGAAGCGATGACGCGTCACATGGCGTTTTGTAGGGCGTCGAAGTCATCTGGTCCACCGCCTAATCCGGCGGTTCATTTAATTGCCGCCATGAGACAGATTCTCCGGCGAAGTTTGGATTCACCTAGATCCCTGAGGTCTATGCCTAGTAGTCCGACGAAGAACACCGGGGCCGGCGCACTTGCTCGATCGGAGAGCTGTATGCCGACTCTAACGCTTGCTGTTGTTGATTCATCTCCGTATGATGAACTCGAAGTACCTGAAGAATGATGAACAACACAGAAGAACAAAAATGTCGATGAACAATTGTAAGTTTGATTCCTTGATCCTCCAAAACGGATTTGGGAAAACTAGATGCTTAATTTAGATGAGACAGTTATTGTATCTAAACTCATTATAATTACTAGTAAACAACCATGTTTTGATCTTGATATCATTTTCCTACAAACAACTTCCATTTGAAATTTCTTCAAATTTTCAAACCCATCAATTATTTCAAGAAAACTTCCATCAATTAAAATATACCAAACTTAGTTGGTTAAAAAAGTGTCATAAATCAATACACACGGAAACAAAAATTTAGTGTGAAATGAATAAACAAATCATTACTCATTTCATCAAATCAATACTAATAAACTCAATTGTACACTAATAATGCAAGTATCTTGAAGGTGTTTGACATGAGAATAATCTTTTTGGCTTTTGTGGACATATGTTTTGCTACAACAAGAGATTCTCACTTTGGTCTTTCTAGCCGCAAGCTAGTTACCTATCACAAAAAGTGATAGAAAGACAATACAATAAGTCATATTGAGATGCCTATTTCCTACTGCTTTTAATAGAACATATATTCTAATATGTCAAAAAGCATGTAAATAATTATAAAAAGAGCTTATGATATGCATTGTGAATCCGTATCCTATATTTATGTAAAAGACAAAACAACAATAAAGTTCCGTAAAACCGTAAAACCGAAAGGTAATGTGAAAAGTATCGTGTGAAATGATGTCGATTTGGAATGCTTTGTTTATTGTACAATTATTGATCGTACCATTTTCATAGAGGTAAAAGAGGTAAAAAGTTGTAACGTACCTTATTAGATTGTACAACTTGTGAGGGGTAAGATTGTAATTTCAAACTCAAATTAGTGATGTGAAGTGACTATTTAGCCATAAAATTCGTGTTGGAATCCTGTGCGCATAAGTAAATGATAAAAATAAAATTAAAATACATAACCGTTACAATACATGTGATTTTCAAATTAATTAAAATATGAACGAACTGCATCCAAATACGGTATAAGTTGTCATGTGTTTAGTTTTTATATGAATCAATGAAATCGAAATGTGAATTGTGTTAAACGGAAGAATATATTTGTCTATTTTTTGAATTTATTAGGACAATCTAGTTTTTCAACCAAAAAAAGAAGAATTACAACTCTTACCTCCCACTTCTAGGAATGATAAAATCCATCAAAACATGGATTTTGAATGTATCAAACATTTAATGCATAGGAACTAAGAGATTCTAATTCCTTTGGATTCTTTGGGAGTTCATAAACCAAACTTGTGTTGTTAAACATGATAAATCATATCATCATAACAACACTATAACGTCAAATTTCTGGTATATTCCTCTAAAAATTTTATTATTTAAAGTTTTGGGTTTTTAGTGGCCACGACGTGGTGAATGAGTTCCCATGATGTGGCCTTGGCCAAAGAATACGCGGAGGTTAAGTGAGTGCCACGACGTGGCAGAATTTTCGCCACGCCGTGACATCCGTTTAAATACAAACTCTAATTTCGGTGTTTGTGCCCCTATTTAAGGGATGTGATGGCTAGGGTTGTCCACCCTTAGCCTCTAACACTCTCCCTCATCCTCCAAAGCAAACCCTAGCCGTTATTGTTAACTTTTGAGCTTTTATGGTGATTGGTGGTGCTTTAAAGAAGAAGAAGGTGACCCTTGAAGCTTTGTTTCAGCAAGAAACCCCTCCCCATCCTCTTTGTGCACGTTTTTAGGACTCTTGTAAGTCCTCACGTTCCAAACATTATGACTCTATGTGCTTAGATCTAGGTTTTCTTGTGCTCTTCTTCATGTTTAGGCTAGTTGGAGTGTTGGGGTTCGATAAAGTTGCCAACTTTATGGATCCCCATATTACCTTTATAGTTGGAAGTGATGGATCTGGAGTTTGATATAGTTTTGAACTCTTGCATGAGATTTTGCCCCCATTTTACACCATTTTGACCTAACTTGAACTCAAGACTTGTATTGGACATGCATGTCTATAAAGCTGCGATCTTTATGATCTTTTGGGAGTATAGAAACATTCTTGAAAGTTTGGATGAGTGGGGAAAAGGATTCAGAGCTTAATAGATTATGTTGGTCTGGACAGTTCCCACAGCGTGGAGCATTAGTCGCCACGTCGTGGCGATTCGGTAAATCCTCGTTTATCTTTTCATGTTATCCCTACGACGTGGCATAAGCTTATCCACGTCGTGGCGACCTATTGTTGACTTTGATCGTTGACTTTTTGACCAAGTTTGACTTTAGGTCAAATTTAAGGTTTGGGGTTGTGGTTTGAGATTTAGTCTCTGTTTGTTGTATAGGTGACCTGTAGTGCTGATTATTGGATCTATGATCAGTATTGTTATCTTCTTGACTGCGAGGTGATTTTTCTCAGTGTACTTGTGGGTCAAAGGCACCAATATCAGGCCACTTGATTGTGTTATGTATCCTTTTGTATAGGATGTTGTTATATTGTAGTGATCTGTTAGATTGGCAGATCTTTGTGATTCCCTTTAGTTACTGGTTAATGATTATTGTTTGCATATGTCTACATAGTGTGGTTAGGTTGAGGAGGTATTGCTTTGTGCGGTAGGCCAACAAACCCAAGAGCGGTCCAACTTTATGTTGTAGGCTCGTGAGCGGTCCAGTTTTATGCTGCAGGCTTGGGGACGGTCTACTCTTGTGTTATAGGACCAGGGGCGGTCCTGTCTTATGTTGTAGGCCCAATATGCATGCATTGTGTGTGTGTGTATATATATATATATATATATATATATATATATATATATATATAATGTCATTGTGTTGTAACGACTCAAAAATCACAACAAATTTAAACTTTTAAAAACAACCCATAGTCATAAAATGTTTAAAAAATCATTGTTTCCAAATTGTTTATCCATATCAGAGTATCCCAAAATCATAAAGTCATAAATAGAGGATGTGTACGGCCACGCCTTCGCCTTCCCGGGATCATCAGAAGTACCTGAAACAACAAACTAAAACTGTAAGCAAAAGCTTAGTGAGTTCCCCCAATGTACCAACACACAAACATATAACATATACAACAACATGTCGGGTCCAATCAACCATCAGGTTGGAATACCCCAGAACCAGTCAACCACCGGGTCTAGTCATCCTCGGGATGGAATACCCCAAGTTGGAATGCCTATATACAACGGGTCCAGTCATCCTCGGGATGGAATACCCTCGAGCCGAATCAACCATCGGGTTGGAATGCCCTCGGTCTATTGGCCCATGCACAAAGCAGTAAAGCTTCAACTACAACTCAAATATGTCGACATATACATAACAGATAAACATATAATCAGCCAACAAACAAACATGCAGATCTATAGATCACTACAACATAACAACATATGGTAAACCAGGATATCAATCCAATGGGTCGGCCTTGGTGCCTTCGGCTCGTAAGTACAGTGAGGAAGACTCACCTCATAGTCTGAACAATAGCTGATGAAGTCTCGACTCCGAATCTCAGCTCTAACTGTCACCTATTTATCCAAATGACCAATTCTCAACCACAATCCAAAATACCCAAAATACCCTTAAGTCAAAGTAGGTCAACCTTGGTCACATTCAAAATCAAACTGGTCAAAATCAAGAAGTCAACTGAGTCAACTCAGCCGACTCAACACAAAACGTGTACGCAGGGTGCACTCCAAAGGTACACGGGGCATACGCAAATCTTGATTGCAGACGGGAGAGTAAACCACGCACGCGCTGTGTACTCAGGTTACGTAGGGTGTACGCCCAGACTTCTCAAAACTTTGTTAAGATCTTAATGCCTTAAGCTCTTACGTCCAACTTTCAGATCCAAGGCTAAATCATCCTCAAGAGTCATAAAGTTTCCAACTTTATGACTTTGCATGTCCATTAAGTGCTTAACTCAACATCTTATTACATTAGGACCTTATAAAGAATGCATGGAGCAAAACCAACCATTAAGACCCTATTTTTATGACTAAAGACCCTTCCTAAGGTCTAAAAGGACGACTTAATGGGTAAAGAACATGTCATGCTCAAGAATCACCATTTTGGGACCAAAAAGTTTCTTAAAAGAACAAAAGTCTAGATCTACAAGATCGAGTGGTAAATTTGTAAGCTTTATACCACCTGGAGGTTGGAAACAAGAATGAAATCCCGGATCCAATGTGCTCTCAAGCTCCAAGTTCTTTTCACCACCTTCTTCTTTCTTCAAGAACACTTTTAAACACTCTAAAGGATCCAAAATGCTCTCTTTCTCTTAGGTTTTTCTTGGGGGTCGATTTCACAGAAGGAGACTAAGTAAGAATGAGATGTGAGACTATAATGAGGTTTAAATATGAGCCAAACCCTAAAAACTAGGGTTTGCATGATCTTCATGTACGCCCTGCGTACAAGGTGTACGCCCAACGTACTAAGGCAAGCCCTAGTATGCTTAGCGTACACACATACGCTCAGCGTACTCCCAAAAGTCTGAATTTACCAAAGTGTCACTATGGGCCCTTTTGCACTCTTTCTTTTACTTAGGGACCAAAATGCAATAAATCTCAATATAAGGGTCAACAATGAAAGTACCGCAAAAAAAGATGTTACATATGTGGGGTATTTTGGTGGAACCCTCTAAGCTTTGGCTTACAGTTGTTGATTTCATGTGTAACGCCCGTTTCCAGGTAAATTTCTCAAGTTTTAAATAACTGTTTATTAGAGGAAGGCCATTACGCTAAGCGTAATGGATAGTTACACTTAGCGTAACTCATTTAATTTGATCGCGGATTCCATCTCGTACATTGGCTGTACATGTGAGTACGCTTAGCGTACTCATGTAGAATGCAAAACCCTAAATTTTATGGTTTGGACCCTATTTAAACACCTTATGACCTTAAGGCCTCTCTCATCACCAACCTCCTTTGTCCCAAAACAGTCCCCTCAAAACCCTAGCTCCATTTTAGAGAGTATTGATCCTTTTGAGTGATTTGGTTTGTTTTTGGTACATATTGAAGAAGGAGGAGCTCATTGGAGAAGCATTGGTTGATTGAAAGCTTGTTGATCCAGACCTTGTTCATCTCGATCATCATTCTGGAGGTATAAAGTCTCAAACTTGATGATTGATTTCTTAGATCTAGTTAGCTTAGGGTTTTTG